CCACCCCACCCACCCCACACCTGCAACCTCTGGCCTGCCTGGGGAGCCTGCACTCGCTCTCACCAGCCTCTCCTCTCATGAAGACGCTTGTGTTTCTCTCTCCTTGGCTGTGCTAAGCCAGCGTAAACTCCTCCATTGATTGTTTTACTCTCAATATTTTTAAAGTGCTTATCTTCCAATATCTCCTCTCCAGCTCATCTTTGTGGATTTGTGCCCTTTTTATTTCTTTACTGTCATCTTGGTGGTTTTTTCCCCAGAAGGAAGGGGAGATAAACATGGGAGATCGATTCACTTGTTGACCCGATGTCCTCTGGGCTCTGCCATATTTGATGTGGGTAGGGGTATCCTCTCCCTCCCTCCACATCCTTGTTTGGGTTCATAAGGAGAGGCTTCTCACTTAGGAATACTGGAGAGAAAACTGCTGCCCTCTGCTGCACCCCATTCCCTCCTTCCCAGGGGACAACGGTAGTGTGAGTCTCCCAGTGTAGACTCTCCCAGAAGCAAACCCTGAGCTGATAAGGGTCTGAGAGGCTGTGGTTTACTTGGGGAGCAAAGCCAGGAAACTCCATGAGGGGAGTAGAGAAGGGAGGCCAACACAGATGCTTTCAGACATGGGTTGCCACTGTGCGCTCAACATGCCCAGATCCCTGGGAGCCTGGAGAATGCACTGCAGAGCTCCTGGGTGGAGCTAAGAGGTGAAGGAGCCAAGATACTGATCTTCCAGCTCCGTGCAGTCACTAGCTGACTGCTGCTCCCCATAGTCTGCCCTGATGCAAGCACAGCCCTGGAGGAAGGCCAGGCACTTGCAGTCATGGTGCTCAGGGCACTCAGAGGACTAAGTGCTGAAGGATGTGGATAGGTCCAACTGCCCATGCTAAAGTGACAGTCACAAAATGGCCCTACGTCTACATAGCAACACTTCTTCCTGGCAGTACAGCCTGCTCCAGACTGCACATATGCTCTCCTCTGCACATGGAAACTAGAAGCAGGGGAGACCCTGCCCCAGGGGTGAAGCTTGTCTGCAACCAGTCATGGACATCTAATCCAGCAGGGAGAAATAGAAGCCCATCATGTTCTAGGGCTGAGCTTTGCTCTCCAGGTCATTGTCAAGCCATAAGAAAGGGGTGCTCTATCCCTGGCACCCCTTGAATAGACCCTTCATTGGTCAGTCTGGAGAGGACAAGGTGTAGAATATTGGCCCTCTAGAAGAACCCTGATGTCTGGAACAGTGTCCAGTGATGCTGGGGATATAACTAGCCTCCATGCCCTGTTACTGCCTCAAGGTTCTATCTCTAGCTCATTTCTGGGTAGACTGCTTCACAGGTCGGTCTGGAGAGGAGAGGGCATGGAGAATCAGTCCTCTGGGAGAACCCTGGTGTCTGGGATCAGGGTCCAGTGCCTCCAGGGATATGCCTAGCCCCCCATGCCCTGTTCCCTCCTCAAGACTCTCTAGGCTTCTCAGGCTGACCTTGCTGGGTCAGTCAGCTGACAAACAAGAGGCTCCCAGGAATCTTCCAAAGACCCAGCACTATGCTCAACACTGGGGAATGAAAATGTCTGTGCCAATCTCCCACTCAAAAGCCTACAACACTTTCCTCTGTCCCTTAGGAAAAGTTCAAAACCCTAAGCAAGGGGCCACAGGGCCCTGCCCATCTCTCCCTGAATCCTGGGTTTCTGGCAGGAAACAGAAGGGACACTCTGATGGAGTGGATGAGGTGGGTTAACAACGAACCACCTGCAAAGGTATGGGCAAGATGAAGGGAAAACCAGCAAAGGATGGTGAAGCCCCAGGGACAGCTGCTACCTGCCTGGCCCGACTCTGTAACAGGAGGGAGCAGTCACTGAAGCCTGAGATCATGTGAATGACATGTCATACACACAGGTGCACAAATGAGTGCATGCATGTACATATGATACAGAGGACATTCTTCCAAATGTTTTGCCTCTCCAAAATGTTTTCTCTTTGGGCAATGGGAAGGAGAGAAAAACTGTATTTACTGAAATTACTGTAAATAATTGATTAGAAAATGTAACTTAGAGTCCAAGCTGTGCAGAGGACACAGAATAAAGTATTAACCTCAATCAGGTAATGGCTGATCAGGCGAGGTTTTGTAGGAGCAGATCCCAAAGAAGGTAGTAGGTGTGGACTAGTAGGTAGAGGCAGGGAGGCCTGGAGGTGAAAGGATGGACACCCAAAGACCCGAGGCGGGGAGGATAGAGTTTGTGGGATGTCTCTGCTGAACCCTACCTCTAGTTCACTGAGATCTCCACTCTGAACCACTGATAAACGCTCCTCGGATGCAGCTTCTCCTGTGATTTTCTTCCCCTGCAAATGACAACAGCAAGACATGAAAATCAGTTGCACTCACAGTGGCTGAGAGCCCAAACTCTGGATCAAGCCTATGGGGTTCAGACCCTGGCTCCACTGCTTACTGGCTGCGTGGCATTGGAATTGCTATGTAGCCTCAGTTTCCTCACCTGTGAAAAGAGGATGTGATCAGCATCTACTCCATAATGTTATGAGGATAAAATAAGGATGGACAGATAGACAGATAGATGCTTAGTACCATGAAGGCACCCCCAATTCTCATTACTATTCTTCAGTTTAACTTGAAAGCTGCTACTGTTTTTTTTTTTTAAAGTCTTATTGAGATAGCATTGGCACACAATAAACTATGTATATTAAAGTGTACCTTTTGAGAAGGTTTGACTTACATATGCACCTGTGAAACTGTCACCACCATCTAGACAAGGAACATGCACATCAATCCCCCAAGTGTGTCTACATGTCTCCCACTCCACCCCTTTCTACTCTGCCAACCACAGGCAAACACTGATAGGATTTTTGTCACTATAGGTTAGTCTTTGTATTTTCTGAAAGTTTATATACATAAAATCATTATTCACTCTTTTTTTGTTTGTTTGTTTGTTCTGGCTTCTTTCCCTCAACACATTTATTTTGAAATTCATCCATGCTGTTGCATGTATCAATAGTCCTTTTTGTTGCTGAGTCCTCCACAGCCTCACCAACATTTGGAATGCTTAATTTTTTTTGTTTTGGTAATTCTAACAGACGTATAGTTGTATCTATAGTTTTAACTTGCATTTCTCTAATGATTAATGAGGTCTCGCATTGTTTCATGTGATATGTTTCTTTTGAAAAGTGTCTGTTCAAATCTTTTGCCTACTTTTTATTAAGTTGTTTATTTTGTATTGTTGTGTTTTGAGAGTTTTAAAATATGCATTCTAGAAACAAGTCCTTTGTCACCTAGATTATTTGCAAATATTTTCTCTCAACCTGTAGCTTATCTTTTCGTTCTCTTAACAGTATTTTTCAAAAAGAAAAAAATTTTAATTTTAATGATGTTACATTTATCAATTTGTACCTCCATATATTATACTTTTGATGTTGTAGCTAAGAAACCTTACCTAACCCAAAGTCACAAAGATTTTCTCTTAGGTAATATTTTCTTCTAGAAGTTCAATAGGTTTGAATTTTACATTCCGGTCTATGACCTATTTGCAGTTAATTTTTGGGTATGAGGTATAAATTGAGTTTAAAATATTTTTGCATATGGATATCTAATTTTTGCATATAGAAAAGGCTATATTTTCTTCACTACATTGCCATGTACATTTGTCAAAAATCAGTTGTTCATGTATGTTGAGTCTATTTCTGAATTTTATTTTATTCTATTAATTTACTTATTGACCTTGACACCAATACTACACTATCTTCTTTATAAGAACTTAGAGTAATTAATCTTAAAATAAGTGAGTTTTAGTGCTACAACTTTGTTCTTTTTCACAGTTGTTCTGGCAGCTCTAACTTCTTTCCATTTCCACATGAATTTTGTAATCAATCAATTCAACTTTTATAAAAATTCCTGCTGAAATTTTGATTCAGATTTTATTGACTCTGTAAATCAATTCGAGAAGAATTGAGACCTTGAGACTTCCAACCCATGAACATAGAACATCTTTCAGCTTACTTAGGTCTTCTTTAACTTCTCTCAGAAATGCTTTATAATTTTCAGTGTCTGGCTCTCAAACATCTTTTGTCAGGCTTATCTTTAAGTATTTAACACATTTGGGCTATTATAAGTAGTATGGGGGGGACCCAAAAAAACAAAAAATATTTTTGGGAGGGCAGGCGCCTTGTAGTACAGGTATCCCCCGCTAGGTTAAGTGTTCTAGGAACCCATCAGCATCAGTGTGTCAACTAATGTTGCTGTGAGAGGCTGTGTTAGGCTTCAGTGAATTTGGGTTTTTTTTGGAGTTTCTTTCAGTGTACTTGTCCATTACATGATGGGCGATTTACAAGCACACCTGCCCACACCATGCTGAGTGTTCAACACTTTCAACTAAAAATGGCATGACCCCCATGCCCTACCCTCTATTCACTCAATCTAGCCCCAAACAACTTTTTTTGTTTCCCTGAATGGAAAAATTCCTCAAAGGGAAACATTTTGCTGATGTAAAAGAGGTAAAACAAAAAAACAGCAGAAATAACTAAAAGGCATCAAAATCGACAATTTCAAAAACTATTTTGGGCAGCGGAAAAAGCATCTCAATAGGTGTAGTGCATCAAGTATAGAGCACTTTGAAGATGACTGAAGTTTAAACATAAAAGAGCCGGGCTCAGTGGCTCAGCCTGGAATCCTGTGCTTTGGGAGGCCGAGGTGAGTGGATTGCTTGAGCCCGCGGGTTCGAGACCCGCCTGGGCAACTTGGCAAGAACTCGTCTCTACAATAAATCAAAAAAAAAAATTAGCCAGGTGTGGTAGCGCGCGCCTGTAGTTCCAGCTACTTGGAAGGCTGAGGCGGAAGGATCGCTGGGGCCCAGCAGGTCGAGGCTGCAGAGGCCGGGAGCGACCACTGCACTCCAGTCTGGGCGACAGAGTGAGACTCCAACTCAAAAATTAAATAAATAAATAAACATAAAAGAATAAATACACAATTTGTTATAAATAAATTCCAGTTTTTGGGGGGTTCCCACCTCATATTTATTTCTTCTGATTGTTCATTGCTATTATACGGAGATACAACCAAATTATGTATATTAATTTGTATAATTTTATAAAGTATAATTTATAAATTATAGCTTTGGAAATTTTGTATTTTATATTTGTGATTTTACATAATTTTGTCATATTATTTACCATTCTAGTCATTATTTTGTAGATTCCATCAGATTTTTCTACATAGATAATAATGTTGTCTACAAATAATTCTTACTTTTCAATATGATGCTGTTAACTTCTTTTCTTTTTGTACTGGCTCAAAGCTCTAGTAAAATTTTGAATAGAACTAGTAAGCACAGACACTCTTGTCTTGTTCCTGACTTTAGGAGTAATGCATTCAGCCTTTCAATTACATATGATGTTTGCAATGGGTTTTTCAAACAATAACCTTTATCAAATTGAGAAAGTTCTCTTCTATTTCTAGTTTTTTGAGTTTTTATGAGGAATAGATGTTGGATTTTCAAGTGTCTTTTATGCATTTATGAGATAAACATAAGATTTTTTCTTTTTTAGTTTACTATGGTAAATTATACTGGTTGACTTTCTTATGTTAAACCACCTTCCATTCCTAGGATAAACCTGACTTTATCATGACATATTATCCGTTTTGCATATTCATTCAGTTTATTAGAAATTTTAATTACAACTTCCCCATTAATGTTCATGAGGGATATTAACCTGTAGTTTTATTTTCTTGTAATGTTTTTTATAGTGAGAGAACATACCTTAGATGACTTGAATCTTAAATTTATTAAAACATGTTTTATAGCCCAGAATATGGTTTATCTTGGTAATCAGCACTTGAGAAAGATGTGTATTTTGCTGTTTTGGGTAGAGTATTCTATACATGCTAAACAGGTCAAGTTGGTCAGTAGTGTTTTTGTTTGCTTGTTTCTCTCATTATTAATATTCTTTTATTATTACTTTTTTTTTAATGTAGAGCTGTTGCTTCACTGTATAAAAGTAGCACCAGTTAAGTCAGTATACTGTAAAATTAAAATAGTATCATTCTTCACCTGACACTGTAAAACTAACAAAAACTTTTCTCTACTCCCAAGTTATTTCCAATGCAAAGATCTATAAGTATTTTGGCCTAAATCCAGGGATGGATGTAAGCAAGTTACAACATTATATAAGGCTTAAAATAATAATGTTATCCTTGAATTACATAATTTTTATAACTAGTTTCTACCACAGGTAATTTCATAAATCCTAATATTATAACTGAATCCTAGCCTAAAAATTATAAGATATTGTGAAAAAAGATGCATACTGTGTTTATCTGTAACAGGTAAGGAATATTTCTTGCAGTAGCAGTGTTGTAGTTTCATTTGCCATTGGTATTGCTAAAAGTTGCTATTTTAAATCTTCTATCCACCGCTAATTTAAAACAACTATGCTGGGTTAAGTTGCTTCATACTAGTTTACTTTGGGGTTTTCACTCATACTCTTCTTCATTCATTAGTTCATCCAGTTCTGAAGTGCTACTCGATGTCATCTAGACAGCGAGGCCCACTGTTCCAATACCATTTTCTGCTGTTATCCACTCATATCTGTCTGTGAATTTATGTACTAAGAGCAGAGCAGATCCCATGCACAGATGGCACTTCCCTCAGGCACCAGGACTGCAGCCCACAAACTCCACACTTCTCACAGCATACCAAGTTTTCAGTATTGAGGGTCACTATACTGTACCTCGGTCACCTGGGCTGGTAGGGGTAGAGTGGAGCTGGACAATACTGTCCTTAAAATCTTCTTTATCCTTACTTTCTGTCTACTTGCTATATCAATTATAAACAAAGGGATAGTGAAAATCTCTGACAAAAATTGCTGAATTATTTATTTATCTTTGTAGTTCTACAACTTTTTGCTTCATGTATTTTAGAACTCTGCTATTAGGTACATAAACATTCAGGATTGTCATATCCTCTTGACCTTTGTTATCCTAATCACATTGTTTTTCCTGAAATCACTTTGGCTGAAATTAATAAAGTCATTCCAGCTTTCTTTTGATTGGTGTTGGCATGGCATATCTTTTTTCATCCTTTTAATTGTAGCCTACTGTGTGTCTGTACTTAAGGTGTAACTGAGATTTGCTTTTTATCCAATGCCCTTTAGTTGGGATATTTAGACTACTTACATTTAATGTAATTATTGATATGATTAAGTTTAAGTCTGTCATCTTGCTATTTTTCCCATCATTCTTTGTTCTATTTTTTCTCTTTTGGCTTTCTTTTAGTTTAATTTTGTATTTTTATGATATCATTTAATATCTTCTGTAGGCATATTAGATATAACTCTGAATTTGATGTGTAACTTCAGTGGTACATCTTTAACTTTCCATAGACTGTCTTCAAGTGATAAAATACCAGTTCAGGTACAGCATAAGAACCTTAAAGTCATATACTTAAATTTCTTCCCTCAAGGTCTTTGTGATACTCTTGTCATATTTTTATTTTTACATAAGATATAAACCCCACACTATGTTGCTTTTATTTTTGTCTAAGTTAATTATCTTTTAAAAAGATGTAAGCATTAAGGAAAAAATATTATACATTCGCCCATGCTGTTATCATTTCTGGTGCTCTTTATCCTTTTGTGTAGATTCAGATTTTAATCTGGCATCATTTTCCTTCTGCCTGAAAGACTTTCTTCAACCATTCTTGTAATGTGGGTCTGGTAGTGATGCAACTTCCTACCATTTGTATGTAGGCAAAAGTATTTATTGCACCTTTATTTTTTAATGAAATGTATTTACAAGGTATAAAATTCAGTTTATTTTCTTCCAGTTTTTTCAAAATGTTATTTCACTATCTTCTTGCTTGCATTATTTTCCCCCCAAAACCTGCTGTTATTCTTATCTTTGTTTCTCTGTTCCTAATTTGACTTCCTCCATCCTCACATCCAACTGCTTTGAAATTTTCTCTTTATCATTGATTTTTCACTATTTTCTTATAATTGGTATAATTGTCTTCGTGTTTTCTGTTTTCTGAGTTTCTTCTGTCTATTGCTTTATTGTTCTCACCAAATTTAGAATTTTTTCAGTCACTTCTTCAAATATGTTTATTTATTTTCTATCCCAATCTCTCTCTCTTTATATGAACTTCCATTACACATGTATCAGTTCCTTGAAGTTGTCCCAAAGCTCACTGACACTGATCTTTTAAAAAAAAACTCACTTATCTTTGTTTCAAGTTCACTAATCTTTTCTGAAATGTCTAGCCTGTAGTTAATCTTTGCAGTGTATTTACTATCTCATGCATTGTGGTTTCTAATCAACTCTAGAAATTGATTTGGGACATAGTTTTATATCTTCCCGTCTCTCCTTAACCTTTGGAACATATCATTATGATAGCTGTTTTAGTGTTTTTGTCCACTAATTCCAACATCTTTTTCATATCTGGGTTGGTTTCAACAGATTGATTTGTCTCCATCTTATGCATTATGTATTCCCAGTTTTTTGAGAGCTTGATAATTTCTTTATCCAGTTCCAAACATTGTGACTTTTACCTTGTTGAATCCTGGGTAATTTTGTTTTCTTGTAAATAGTCCTGAACTTAGAATTAGTTTGATGCTTTCGATTTTTTCTCTAAAGGACAACAGCAAGGCCCTCTCTATAGGTAACAATTTCCCATTAATGAAACAAGACTCTACTTTGCATGCACTTAGTATCCTGTGAACCGTACATTTTTCTTTTGATAAAAGGCACTATTGAGAACAGGCACTATTCCTAACCTTATATGAGCATTGGGTACTGTTAATGCTAATCCTCTTCTCAGTCTGACTTTAAGTGGTTTCCTCATGTGTGGTCTGATCAGCACTCAGCTAAATAGCCATGAGTGATCAATGATGTCTCTCTCGGCTGATCAATGATGTCTCTCTCTGTGCAGCCCTCTCCTTTCTAGTACTCTGTCCTTCAAACTTCATGGCTTTAGTCTCTATGGTCTTACAAATCAATCTCTTCAACTTGGAAGTCTTCTGGTTCCTAGTGCCCTGTGTTGTGGCCTGGAAATTCTCAAGACAGAAATCTGAGGCAATCATAGGATCCCTTGCCTGATCTTCCATCTCTCAGGCATCACTGTCCTTTGTTACAATGATAAGTAGTGTCTTAAATACAGTTCTTTCCTGTACTTCAGCCACATTTTGGTTGTTTCAGGCAGGAGAGTAACCTGTGTCTTACACCATCTTGCAGAAGCACAAGTTCTTTGTGCTTTCTTTTCTGCCTGTTTGAATTGATTCCATTCATCAACTTCATTTTCTTTCAATGTAATTCATGCTCTACAATCTTCTTTAAAAGGCTCAGGTCTCCCCGAATCCCCTCTTCTGAGATGTTTCCATCCTCTTTGCACATACTTAATTAGCAGCCTCTTCTCTCCGCACCATACCACAACCTCTTGAAGGCTAAGGCTGTGTTTCAGTCTCCTGGGTACACTCAACACACAACAGAGTGCCTGGCCATCATGAGCACCTGATCTCTGTGCAGAAAACAGATCAATGCTTGAAATATGACACTCAACCAGCTATAGGTTGGTTGGTTGGGTTCTTTTGCAGTTTGGGGGATCAGAATGCATTTTTCAATAGAGATAACCTGAAAACCAGGAAGGACAATCCAAGTCGCATAGTGCTAAGACTCATGTCCTCTTCTCCTACTCTTATTCCCAAGATTTTTTTGCATGAAGTGATGGGCAAAGAAAACATTGCTTTTTCCAAGATAAGAAAGGAGAAAAAAGAGAGAAGGGGGCTGGAGGCTAGGAAGCAACGGCACTGTCCCTGCCCCCATCCTGGGTGAAAGGAGGGGTCCTGAACTCAGCTGGGTGGAAGAGTAGGGAGATCAGAGGCTGAAGAAGCTGTGTAGTGAATCCCATCTAGAGATTCTGGTCACACACATTGTTGATGTGGCACCAAGCTGACAACATTAATCTACAAGTGAATCTGTTTGTTTTTCCCACTTGGTGAGGTCATCTGAAAAGGAGGGGACCTGAGCAGCCTTGTTCCTGAGGTCACAAGGCCATGGCCTGAGACCCTGCAGGAGTAAATGAGGATCCAGAGCCCAGATTACAGCCCTTTTACTAGTGGTCAAAGATTGACAGAGACGAAATGATAGCTGGATTCCTGGGCCACCTACCAAATCCTGTCTAATCTATAACATGACTGACTCTAGACTCCCTTGGTGTGGGTTTCTTCCCCAATGAGGTTAGGGCAGTAAGTAACAGCAGCACACACAGTGCTCTATTAGCATCACACTAGCCTTGGAAGAAACCAGGGAAGACTCCCTCCAAGGCCAGGCAAGCACTATGAAGCCCGACAGCTCTCCAGGGAGCTGTGGCAGATATTTCTGTAGTTTGCAGGGTGCCTAGTCAGGGCAGGAAGGAAAATGCTGCCCCACTGGGAAATGTAGATAGAGTGTAAGTTTCTTCACAAAGTCTAGATTTCCCAGTGAGCTTTAAATGAGCAGTTTTACCTACTGCAGCCTCCTAAAATTAGGAGTTAGTCAGGGAAGAGAGGAGCATAGAGAAAGGCTGAAGTTCCGTTCTGACCTGTACTCTGGAGCATATCAGTGAGGCTTTGATTTGTCTGTTATAAATACCTTAGGGCCCTGTGTGCCTCAGTCCACAGTATCCCCAGTCTTAGTGTTAGTCTTCATCAGGCTAATATTAGAACTTCTCAGAACTTCTCAGGCTAATATTGTCCCTTCTCCAGCACCAGGGACAGCCCTGATATCATAGTAACCCCCAGGCCTACCCCACACCCCAGACATGAAAAGAATGGTCTCCCTTACCTGGACGCTTTCCATGGTCTCTGGAGAGACAGGTTCCTGTGGCTCCTCGATTACTTTTAGGGAATCCTGGTGACTATTCCTGAGCTCAGTGTCTTTGAGAGAAAGAATAGAATGAGGACAGAAAATAGTTCATAAATGTCTGTAGAACCACAGGAAATTGGCCAGCATGGTCACATGTTTTTAAATTATAGCCAATCTGAAGAATTTCACTCCAGAGGCCAGTACCTTGAGATGAAAAGAACAGGGTCTCTGTAGCCCCCCTAATACTGACATCGATGGAGGAATCCTGGATGAATACCCCCTTTGACCTTCCTGAGCCCTCCTCTGCTTGATGGAGATAAAATGACACCTGTCCCCAGGAGAGTCATGGAGGTGGAACCCACTCAATGGCCTGGGCAGGCCTGGCTTGCAGGAGGCCCTTGACTGTCTGCCAGTCACTGGGCAGCTGGGTCCTTTAACAGCAGCCCCCTTTGAAGTTCACAAGCAATGGCTGATCAACTCCTGGATGGCAGGCTTTGAGACGATCTTAGGACCGAAGGTGGAAAAGACCACAGTTAGCTAAGTCCATGCTTCCCGAATGCCCAGAGTTAGCACAAGGGCTGCTGTCTCATTGGAGATACCATGACCTCGTGGCCAGCCAGTGGCCATGATGTTCACTTTTTTATTTTCTAATAGAAATTATTCTCAAGAAATAGAGCTGAGCATTGTTGCTTTAATGTGTTCTGGAAACTCAATAATCAGGGTAGGCTTCATGTATTTAACCTTTACCAAAAATTATTGCAGGAAAAAAATGCTCATTTTGTCTAAAAAGGTTTTTCTCCCTGCTCTTGTTTCCCTTTCTCCCCCTTCCTTCCACCTGCTCCACACCCTCCTCATTTCAAATCACTCCCCATCTAAGGAGGGCTACCAGAGGGAGGACATCACTGCAAGAACACCTGTTCCCTCTGCCACTCCCAGGGCCTGGTCTACCAGGGAACTCTTGGCTGTGACCTCTGCTCTCAGCCTTCAGGCATTAGTTCAGAGCAACCCTGGGATGCTCTGCTCACACTGCACCTCCCCAGAAGTGCTGCCACAGATGCAGGAGGCATCCTGGACCCGCTGGAGGCTCCAGAGATGCTGCTGCTGCCACGGCCAACATGGGAATGCTGCTCTGTCTTCTTGTTTTAACCATCCCATTACACACCATAGGGCCAGAGGCAGCCCAAGGTCCTCTCTGCTTCCTCTTCTACAACATTCTAGTACCAGCCATGGCAATGGCCCCTGCAAATCCCTCCCTACCCCAAATCACCAGATCCCTAAAGCCTTACACCTACTCTGGCAAAGATGCAGGTAAATGAAATAGAATGAAACTCTGAAAGAAAAATTAGATGCCCAGGGAGGTGTAAAGGGCATAGTTGGAGAGATACCTATGCTGAAGGTACAATGAGAGGGAATCACATGCAGCACAAAGGGCAGTTCTTGGGGTATGAAGAGAAAGTGTCCTGAGAAGAGAAGAGCAAAGCACCTACAATCCCTTTGCTGACAAAAGGTGCTTTCAGGAAAATAAAAAGTATCACATCTCTGGTTCCTGAATGCCCTGTACTCTACAGAATTTTCCAGATGGTCCCTGTAGGGTTTCTACATTCTCGCAATGACAAGAGCAGCATGATTTTAGGTTAATGGACTTTGTTGTTAAGATGTAACACACATACGAGAGGTTCACAGCTCAGGAAACTTCCACATCCATCCACCCTTGTGTAGCAGCCACCTGGTTGGATATATAGGACATTTCCAGCACCCAGAAGCTTCCCTCTCTCCCTGTCCAATCAACATTCTTCTCAAAGGTATCCACTGTTCCAACATCATTGATTAGTTTTGCACAGTAGCAAACTTGTGAGTGAAGAAACCATTTATAACAATAACTCCCTATTCCTAAATTATACTTCATTTTTAAAACATGTTTCTTGCCTATTTTAACTTTCAAATTTGAAGACCTACAAATACTGCAACTAAAAGAAGACATTCACTATGCATATATTTCTTTTATATTAGGAAAGATTACTAAAAGGGAAAAGTCTTAGCAACTGGATTTGATTTGCCATGAACTGATAACATTGGTGACTTGACTATCTGAAGTCTGGAGTTCATGAGACAATCACCAACTACAATGACTAATTGTCCTGGCTACAGGACACTGTCATGAGGTGTTGCAGTTTATTACTAAGCAGCTGCCCCACTTGTCCCTAGAGGGGACTGCATTTCAGAACTGGGTGAGGTGATACACCATCTCTCTTTCCAGGGTCCCTCGGGTTTTATGAGGTTTAATTAGTTAATGTTCATAATATGACCTGAGCTCCTCAAAGGTGAGATGCTGTCCCAAAGAAGGCTGAGGCAGTGGTCTTATATAACACACCACTAAAAATATGACTAGCACTGCAAATTTAATTGTTATGTGATGGTTTAGCCAATCTAAGTAGCTTAGAAGTCATGAACGAGTGGTTTACTCTAGTGGGAGTGAAGGCACAACTTGTCAGGACTATCTATCTAAGTGGCACTGCTTATGTGAAGTGGATTTACCAAGAAGCTAATAAAGCTAGGAGTTCAAGCACTTCCTTAGCCCAGGCCCCCAAAAGCCCTACATCTTCATAATTCGGTATTAGAAGCCTTAAGGAGGGCTTGTCTCAAATTGTATAGACTTCAGTTTCCACAAGATTATTGGATCTACCCTGCTCTTTATCTAGTAAGAATTTATTTATTTATTTATTTAGTAGGACTTTAACCCAAGGAATGCAAGATAACACATTTTGAAGGGTTTAGGAATAAATAATAATGTATAATCTTATGTTTTTACATTTATTTAAAATACCCATTTAAAAATCTCAATATTTTTTCATGTAATGAAATAACCAATCCTCAAGAGTAAATATAGATGAATGGTTAGCAAACAAAATTTTAAGAAAGAACAAAACATATGCCATATTCCCTACTGACTAGCTAGCCATGATAAAGTCATAGTTATCAAAATAGTGTGTTACTGACATAAGAACAGAGCAGAATGAAATCCAGAAAGAGTCAGACAGTTATGAAATGTTGATATATATGAAAGATGGCACTTCAGATTAGTGGGGAAAGAATAAACTATATGATAAACAGTGCTGGTTAACCACATGAGAAAAAATAAGTTGTGGTCCTTATTTCACACCACACACAAAAGTCATTTGCAGATATATTATAGTCTGAGGTTTTAAAAACCCACTTTGAAATTATTAGAAGAGAATACAGCCAAATATCTCTATAGCATTGTGGGTAAGGAAAATTTTCTTAGAAATACAGAGGGCAAGAGTCATAAAAGAAAAATAATGATATTTGATCACACTAAAATTTAGAAAGTACTGTCAAAATTACCCTAAAAAGTAGACCAGGCACAGTGGCTCTTGTTTGCAATCCCAACACTTTGGGAGGCCAAGGTGGGAGGATTGCTTGAGCCCAGGAGTTGAGATCAGTCTGGACAACATAGAGACCTCATCACTACAAAACAATTTAAAAAAACAATTAGACAGGGAGATCCAAGATGGCCACTGTAGAGCAGCAGACCAGTGCCTCTCTCACCTAGGAAGAAAAGAGTGAGGACCAGTCACCGATTGACAGTGATGCCTTGAATAATTCTGGATGGGCAATACATCTTGCACCCAGCAGAAGTGTCTTTGAGTGAACAGATACCAAAACAATGGCAGACATGGGACTCATGGTGCCCCATTCTCCACCCTGTAGGCTTGGACAAAACTAGAAGCATTGCTTAGTGAAAGAGAGGGGTGAATGATTCTAAAATGCTTTGAATCTGTTCACCCCCTTCAGCTCTGCCCCATGGGCAGAGTTTTAGTCAGGACACCTAGGAGGCAACAAGAGCCAAGTGAAATGGGGAACAAAACCTGCCCACCAGCTGCTGCTGTGGTGGCCAGTTCCAAGGTAGAAAAAAAAAAAAACACACCTGTAGAGTGAATCTGACTGGCACAACCATCACCAGCAACTAGTAAATAAGCAGACCAGAACCTCTCTTACCAAGCAAGACAGAGAGTAGGGACCCAGATGCCAATAATATCCTGTACCAGCAAGAGTCTCTTTGCATAGAGACCAGAAAGCAATGGCAGAAGCGGGTCTCCAGATACCCCATCCCCCACCACGCACCAGGCTAGTACAGGAACTAAAGTCCTGATCAGTGAAGGAGTGAGATGAGCGAGTCTAAGATGAGTCAGTTCACCCCCTCCCAGCCATCAGTCACACACAACAGGAGCTGAAAATTGGTTTGGCTAGTTTAGCAACTGGAGAGAAAACCTGCAATTATGGTAACCTGCCACAGGGTGGACCAAGTAGCAGAAGTGAATGCTTCTCCCTCTCTCACTGAGTGATGGAATTATAGACAAGTAAAAAAGACCTGCCACAAATGAGGAAAAATCAACAGAAAAACCCAGGCAACCCTCAGAGTCCTAAAGAGACAGTGTCCAAAAACAGTCATCAGATCACAAACAATGGAAACTCCTCAGAAGGACCTGACCCAGATGACAGTCACAGAAATCAGAGATTGAATGGCAAAAATGAACAGGAACCAAGATAAACAAGAAGCAAAACTCAATGAAATCATATAGGAAGTAAAAGTGGGATTGGCCAATTTCAACAAGGCCTATTCTGAAATAATGGAAATAAAGAACTCCATCCTCAAATTAAATAACAAACTAACAAGCATAGGAAGTAGAATCAACCAAACAGGGGAAAGACTCTCAGAGCTTGAAGACCAAAATATGGAATTAACTCGATCTGTTAAAAACAAAGGAAAAAAAAAAAACTCAAAAAGAAGGAGCAAAACCTCCAAGAGAAGTGAGACTATGTCAAGAAGTCACATCTATGCCTGATTGGTATCCCTGAAGCAGAAAGGGAAATGGTAAACACTTTGGAACAAGCATTCCATGAGACCATTCAAGAAAACTCATTATCTCACCAGAGATATGACTATTCAAGCACAAGAGATTCAGAGAACCCTTGCAAGGTATCACCTACGAAGGCCAACCCCTAGATACATAGTAATCCACCTCCACAAAGTAAATATGAAAGAAAAAATTCTAAAGGCAGCAAGCGAGAAAAGTCAGACTAATTACCCAGCAATACCATCAGAGTTGCTCCAGATTCAACTGCAGAAACACTACAAGCAAAAAGAGACTGGAGTCCAATTTTAAACATTCTTAAAAATAATCAGTTCCAACCAAGAATTTCCTACTCTGCCAAGCTAAGCATCATCAATGATGGAGAATTAAAATCCATCATAAACATTTAATCCCTAAGAGAATAAATTTGCTGCCTCCAGACCAGCACTTTAAGAAGGTCTTGAGCACACAAAAAATGAACTGTCATGACCATCACAAAAGTAAAGGGCAAATACAGAGTTAACAGAGCACCCACAGAAATGAGAACACACACACACACACACACACACACACACACACACACACACACACACACACATATATATAAATACAAAGATTAAAAGAAAACAAATCAACCCTCTAAGAGTTCCATGGCAGAGATAAACTCTCACATTTCAATAATTAACCTGAATGAACTAAATGCACCACTGAAAAGTGGCAAACTGGACCAAAAAAAAAAAAAGCATGATCCAACAATCTGCTGCCCCCAGGAAACTCATCTAACTGCAAAGGACATCCACCAAATAAAAGTTGGAGGTTAGAAAATGACCTTTTAGGTGAACAAAAAGGCAGGAGTAGCTATTCAGACAAAGCAGCTTTCAAGTCATTCAAAATTGAAAAGGACACTACATAATGATAAAAGATTCAATCTACCAGCAAGAAACATCCATCCTAAACATATATGCACCCAATACAGGAGCACAGGTATTAGAAAACAACTACCAAGTAAACTAAGAAAGGACATTGACTCTCACACAATCACAGCTAGAGACCTAAATACCCCACTAACAGTTTTAGATAGATCATTGAGGCAAAAAAAGTCAATAAAAAGATCCAGAACCTCAACTTGACACTTGACCAAATAGACTTACTAGACATCTACAGAACACTTCACCCAACAACTACAGAGTATACGTTAGCAAACATAGTCCAAGATTGGATCACATTCTCAGACATAAATCAAGCATAAACAAACTCTAAAAGATCAAAATAATATCATGCATCTACTCAG